TGACCGTGAGTTTTATAACAAAACAAAACAGAAAAATTATATTTTTATCTTAAATTTAATATTTTTAATTCAAGGATTCATAATTAAATTTAATTATAAAAAAAATTAAGAACATAAAAGGGACAAAATTATTTATATATATGTGCTTATGTATATAATTCACATGTAATTTAAATTTAATTGTGGAATTTAAATTTAAATTTAAATTTAAATTTAAAAAAATGTGAATTGTACAATACTTACATATATGCTTTAAAAATAATAATAATGATGATGTTTTAAATGGAAATTTAATTTCTAATAGTTTATACTAAACATTTTTATATGTACATAACTTAATGCATGTAATGTAAGTTTATTAATGCTTAGCAAGTAACACACGGATTAGCAGAAGCAGAAGAAACAACAACAACAACAACAACATTTATAAATGTTAAATTTATATTTATGTATATACTCATAACTTGTTTTTTTTCTTTTATAAAAATCCTACGCAATAGTATAAATTATAATTTTTTTTATTAATGTCAATGACAAAAATTTTATTTGTTAGTTTTAAAAATTATTATTATTATTATTATTATTATTAATTAATTTTACGTTTTATTTTTTTTTTATATACTAAGAGAAAATCATATTTGAAAAAGAAAAAAATTTTTTGTTATTTACCTTAGATATATTTATAAAAGTAATTTAAATTTAAATATTGATATCCATATATATATATGTAAAATGTTTACTTTTCAAAATCGTACGTTAAACTAACACTATCAGGTATTGACCCAGGTATAAAAAAAAAAACTTGAATGCCTGGTTTTACTCGATGTTAAGATTAGGTATTATTATTGCCCTCTCCATTAGGTTTTCTCGTCGTAAAAAAGAAAAGTGGGGAGTATTAGAATTTTTTTATTTTTTTAATATATGATTTTGTTAAACATTAATGGCGTTTATGTAATTTGTTATAATTTTTTTTTTTTGTTTATAAAACTTTTAGTTATAATAAATAAATTTTCCGGGAGGGCAAAGTTTATAATACAGGGTGTAAAGTCTTCTGCTTAACAAAAATTTGATATATATATATATATTGATGTTTGTTTGTTTGTTTGTTTTGTTTGTTTTTAAATCGTTTAAGAAGAGTAATAATAATAATAATAACGACAAAGCTGTTTTTATTAAAACTGCTTTGATGATCGTGTTGTTACCCTCATTGAATTTTAATTAATGGCGCAAAAAAAAATTTTTTTTTTTGCCATTAATGTCAGTGAAATTGCAAAGGTCACGGTTTGACTTAATTGTTATTATTGTTGTTCGTATTATTATGCTCTATACTTGCGAATGATTTTTCACTTATTAAAAAATTTCTATTATTATTATTATTATTATTATAAAATTAATTAATTATTATTTTAAATTTATTAATTAAAAATGGAGTCAATGAACTTTAAAAAAAAAATTCGGAATCAATTACGCATTAACTGAAAACTTTTAAAAAAAAAATACTCATTAGTCGGAAAAGTAATTTTTACATTATTAAAATAATAATAATAATAATAAGAAACGTGTATTTTTAAAGTGCGTTAAACCAATTTTAACACGACGTATAAAAAACAGTTAATAATAATGATAATGATAGCATATTTACCGATTACCAAAAAAAATTTACACACACGAACTATAATTTTCTTATCGTTAACAAAAAAAAAAAAAAAATTAGTTTAAATAAATTCACGAGAAAATTATTAACAAAATAAATTATTAAATAAAATAAATAAATAAATAAAAATTTATTAATTAATAAACTTACCACGTACAAGGTAAAACGATTATTGTTTTTTTTTTTTTTTTTGTGTAAAATAAATTTAAAAGTCTTTGTTAATACACATCCGCGTCAATACTGTTAACAATAACGATAATAATAATAATAATAATTGTATTAATAACAAACGATGTTAATAATATGGAAAATCGATAAATTTTTTTTTTTTTTGTAAACGATTTAAAATTTCGGTCAAAAGTTGCAAAGTATTAAAATAAGACGACGGAATCACTTACACTGTGTTCTAAACACACACACACACATGGGCAACCAGATAAGGCAGTTATTATTATTATTATTATCGTTTTATTTGATAAATGCAAGTATATTCAATTAAGATTTAATAGCAGTGGCGGATTTTAAATTTAAATTTAAATTTAAATTTAAAAAAAAATTTTTTTTCTTTCAGATCAATGGCCCACTCTGGGAGGTATCATCGATATTTCATTTTATTTTTTTTTATCTAAATAATCTTTTACGAAAAACGGGGGAGGGGGAGGGGAGGGGGGGGAACAATTTACCCAATACGAAAATTATAATTTTTTAATTTTCAAATCGTAATCAAATCTATTATCACTATCATTATTATCATTAATGAGATTTATTTATGTAATAAACAAAATAAAACAAATTTTCTCACATTGTTGTATTTAATTTTTTCCTTTTGGAAATTTAAAAAATTGTAAAAAAAAAACTAATAATAATAATAATAATCGTTATTGTGAGGTAGTAAAGAAAAATCATAATCATGTTGATTATTATTATTATTATTATTTTCATTGAAAAAAGTTATTCGAAACGTTTTTTTTTTGTCTGTTTTGATTATTTTTTAATCTTTTTTAAATAAATAAATAAATATATCAGTTTGATCTGGTATTTCAATGTTTTTTTATAAATAATTTTATTTATTATTATTATTATTATTATTATTATTATTATTATTATTATTACTTAATCATTGTTTGTGTGATTAAAAAAAAAAAAATTATTTTATGAATATTTTTTTGTCATAACGGTGATTATGCGAATTTTTAAAAAAAAATTTTACAAATCGTGGAAAATGCGAACTTTCTCTTTATATATACGAATTTGAAAAATTTATAAATGACACGCACACGCACATACACACGCACAGGTCAACGGGACATATTATTGATAAAAATAATTTGGTTCAATTAAAAGGTCTTGGAACATTGATAAAAAAAAATTTTTTTTTTTGTGTTTTTTGCTCATTCACACACACACACACACGTATGAATGTCCTTATGCAAAATTATATTATATTGAAAAATTTAAATATATATTATTATATATATATTATTATTTATTATATATATTTATATATGAATCGAATAAAAATATTTTTTGGGGTTTTGATACCATTGTATTTTTTTTTATCTTAAAATAATATTTAATTTAAAAATAAGGAAGTTTTCGAGTCCTACTTATAATCTTATTTTCCACTTTAATAAATTTATCGACTAATTATTTTAAGTACTCGTCGGAAATTAAGTCAAAACAACGATTATTAATTAAAATAAATTATTAAAAATAATTAATTAATTATGTAAAACCAAAAAAAAAATTTCAACAACAACAACCTTCAATAAGAAAATTGATTTATTTTTTTCAAAATTTTAAACTAATAAATAATAATAATAATTAGGTTTTATCAGTTGATTTTTTTGTATTTCATTATTCTTATACCTTAAACCTGTTTAAATATTATTTATTCAGGTTTATAAATATTTTTTTTATTAGAAAAAAAATTTAAAATATTACAAATATGGCTTAATTTTAAAAAAATCAAATGTAAAAATTATTATTATTTTTTTTTGTATGTTTAAATGTTGTTTTGATTATTATTATTATTATTTCAAATTAAGTTACATTATTAGTAGTAACGTTATAAATTTTTATAATTAAATTTATAATTTATAATTAATAATAATAATAATTTACATTATAGAAAATGTTTCTGTCTTCATCATACCAGTTTTCTAATTTGAAATATGTATAAAAATTATTCGAAACTGAATGTATAAACATAAAAACTTACATATACATAAATTATTAAATAGATTTATGTCTTATTAACATTATTTTTACATATTTCTACATAATAATATGTATTTAAAAAGAAAAAGAAAACTTTGGTGACTTTTTTTTTTTTTAATTTTGTCGTGATTTTAGATAAAACCGTTTTACATGTAAAATTTTCCGTCGTGTCTTTAATTACGTGGATGAGGATTTATTATTATTATTATTAAATAATTGGTTATATTTAGTTGTTTTTTTTTTTTTTTTACATAATATATTTTTCTCGTTGGAATGATTACATCAAAATGAAAATAAACATTCGAAGTAAGAAGTGTTATATTTAAAAATATTATTTGAATGATAAAGAATTTGTTTTTTCAGTTTGTATTTCATTATTATTATTTTTTCATCTTTTTTTTTTTTTTTTTTAATGGAAAGAAGAAGAAAACAAAATTTATAGTTTATTAATGTTTTGATTTTTTAAAAAATTCAACAATCAATCAATATTTAACTTGTGAGGTTTAATTAAAATAACTGAATTAAATATAAGCTATAATTTAATTGCCTGTTGTTTTGAAAATATCATTTAAGCATTGAATCTAAGAATTATCTATTGTTTACTTATTGTTTATATTTATTTAATTTTGTTTTTCTTTGTTAGATTGGAATGGTGTCGCCACATGGAGATGGGTTGCAAACGATGACAACTGTGGTATTTGTAGAATGCCCTTTGATGCATGTTGTACAGATTGTAAATTACCAGGAGATGATTGCCCATTAGTTTGGGGACAATGCTCACACTGTTTTCACATTCATTGTATTATGAAATGGCTTAATTCACAACAAATCAATCATCATTGTCCAATGTGCAGACAAGAGTGGAAATTTAAAGAATAAATAAGACTAAATTTTTGTTAAAACTGTTTTTTCCCTCTTTCAAAACAGTGAATAATGGCTTCCTTAGATGGTTTACCACCTTTACCTAAAAGTTTAAGTGGTTTAAATTTATTTCAATTAAATACTTCTTTACAAAGTTCATCTTCACCTGTATCATTAGACCATCTTTCAAGTTCTTTAGGGAGGGAAAGTAGTTTCAATCAAAATTTGTCAACATCTTCAGAAAATGGTAACTTTGGATCAACCGTAGGAAAGTATTATTCTGGAAGTTCTGCTAGTAGTAATGAAAATAATGTTGGAAGAGTTAAAATAAGTCCATCTTCAAGAGAGAATACTCCTACTTTAAATTTTAAACAATTCTCTGATAAATCATTATTGTCATCGACTGGAACTAATAGCGTTTTAAATTCTTCAAGAAATACTCCTGTCGGGTCTTCCAGAGGAAGTCCAGTTACTATGAGAGGCTCAACTCCTCCTTCAAGGATAACTACTCCTATTTTGGGCATGAGAAATTTGCCTCCTCCCCCTCCCCCTCCAACGAGGCAAAAATTAATTACCACATCGAATGGATTAGATTTTTCTTGTTCTGTACCTGCCAGACCTGGACGTTTATTTAATTTAGATGCTCAATTAGCTATTTTAAGAAAAGAAATGGTAAGAATAGTGGGTTACCATAATTTTTTTTTTTTTTCCTGTAAATGAAATAAACATAAACTGTTTACAATTTTTTAGTTTGCTTTGAGGCAAATGGATTTGTCTCTTCTAAATCAATTATGGGCTTTGAATGAAGCTATCCAAGACTTTAAGCATTTACAAGAAGAAAATGCTTCATTATTTCCTCCATCTCCTGGATCTTGTGAAGATAGTGATGATTTTTACAGTCCACTATCTCCTCAAAGCTATAAAAATATGTCTAATTTTCACTTGCGACCTGGTTCAACAAAGTTAATAAATAGCTCATCTGATTCGAGTATTGAATTTGGAGATATTTGAATATTCAATACTTGAATCAATTTTCTTTTTTTTTTTTTTTTTTATAAATTTGATTGATATTTTAAAAATGTTATAGTTTAAAAAGTTTAAAGTGAAATTTATTTTGTTTTAAAAAAAAAAAACTCAAATAATTTTGTAATTCCGCCATTTTAAGATTTCAAGTTACACGTCAATTTTTTTTTATTACTACTAATCGCACGACAAAAGACGTGATTCATTGGCAGTCATTTTGTTTAGTTTTTTTTTTTTTTTTTTTTTTAAATAGTGATTTGTGTGCGATAAAAATGGGGAAAGGTTTTAATAATTACATGTGTAAAAAGTTTTTCCATCCTGCATCTCGGGATAATTTGAAAAGAGTATGGATGGCAGAGCAAAAAGCCGAAGCTTACAAAAAAAAACAAGAAGAACTTAAAATGCAATATGAAAAGGAGCAAGATTTATACACGAACAAAGCTATGCTGAGCAAAGAAAGTAACGATAAGTTAAGTGTTAATTTTTTATACGAACCACCACCCGGTGCTAAAAAAGAAAGGGAAAGAGAGGATAATGAGCCGGAATATAAATTTGAATGGCAGAGAAAATACAACGCTCCCAGAGAAAGTTATTGTAAGGGAGATTCAGAAATTCGCGATCAACCTTTTGGCATACAAGTTAGAAATGTCAGGTGTATCAAATGTCACAAATGGGGTCACATAAATACAGATAGAGAATGCCCTTTGTTTAAAGAAGGTGTAAATCATAATTTAGGTTTGGATCCATTAAATAAACCATCCGATGACAAATTAAATCCTCTTGAATTAGTCAAACAAATGCAGGAAGATGGATTACATTTAAAAACTAGCGCGTTGGCTCTACAGCATCATGTAGACATGAGAGGAAATAGAACGATGATTCCGGAACCTTCACTCGATGAAGAAATTTTAAATAGGCTAACATATAGTCAAAAGAAATTATTTTTGAAAACTTTAAAGAAAATGTTGAAAGAAAAAAAGAAAAAGAAAAAATTAGCCAAAAAGGAAAAAAAATCTAAGAGAAAATAAAATGTAAAATAAAGTAAACATTAAAATTGCTCGACAAGAGAAATTTTTAAAAAAAATTTCTTATAATTATAATTATTATTATTATTATTATTCAATTAATATTTTAGTATAAATATATTTGAAGATTTAAGGTAGAGGAATAGGATTTAAAACATATCTTTTCATAAATTATGATGATGATGATTATTGTGAATGTGTTAAATTAGAAATTATTAAATTAACATAATTTAAAAACATTGTTTCTTCAAAAAGTTAATAATAATAATAATAATATGTTTGTTAATTAATTGATGAAAAAAAAGTGTTGTTGATAAATTATTATCATTGTTTTCCATAATTTTATGTAAATTTAATAAACGTGTAAACATTTTAAATTAAAAAAAAAAAAAAAGTTCCAACTTAAAAGCAATATAAAAATTTAATTTTTAAAAATTAGAATAAGTACTTAAAAAAAAAAATATATGAAAGACATTGGGAGCTGCCTACATGATTTAGGCATGTCTAATTTATTATTAATTATTCATCATGTTTAATATTAAATTGTTTAATAAATGTTTTTTTTTGGATGAATTCGAATTAACTTTTTGAAAGAAAATCATAAGAAATGATTGAATTGAATTGAATGTTAAAATTAAGACTAAAAATTAGTTTTGTAATTAAAAAAAAAAAAAAAAAATGTTTTTAAATGATAATATAAAGTTTTTATGTAGAGAGAATTAAATGGAAATAAATTTTAATTTTTTCAAATTTATCTAACGATATGTTAATATTAACTAAATCAGTTAAAAAGTTTTAATTCTTAAAGAAAAAAAATAATTAATAACAAAACAAAAATTATTATAAAAAAAAATTTATTAAATTGTTTTATTATAAATAAATTAAATAAAATTTTTAATCTACTGGAATATAAGAAAGAGATACTTGTATAAATACCGAGTGATATTTCCCTTCATCAGAACTTGATGGGTTACATTAAACATTATACATAACACATCACACATTACTGATACCAGTTTTTTCAACTTGTTCTAATAAGTTTTGTAAATTTGATTCGAATAATTCACATCTGATTGGCATTTCTAATGAATAAAATGGATTTTTTAAAGCATAATCAGCATAAAGTTCATAGATTTTTTTCAACAAAGGCTCCATTCCTGTTTGATGCGGTTCTGATATTGTAATAAATTTAACTCCGGTAAGAGTTTGAAAACAATGTAGTTTAAATGTGTCTGCTTCAAGGACTTTTATTCCTGAACTTCTCGGTTCTGGACTCAATTGACTAGCGATGGCGAAAAGTGGATAAAACATACTAGCTAAAAATATCTTTTCATTTGTAGTCATTTTAGGTCTCCCAAATGTTAATGATAATGGAAAATTTTTAGGATCTTCCAAAATTTCCCAAACGTCTCTGCCATCTGAGAGTTGACGACCACTTACTGGTATTTTGTCGACAGCTAACAACACATGACCGACTGCAAAAAAAAAAAGGGTATAAAATAATTGTTTTTTTAATTTAAATGTTTTATTCGATAATTTCAAACTTCAAGCTTTATCCAAACAAATTAACTTTAAAATAAAATTATGTATATCTACATTAAATTTTTTAAAAATAATGAAGTAGAATGATAAATATTGATATAATAATAACTTTGAAAAATTAAATCAAATACTTTTCAAAGTTAAAGTACCTTGAATACCATCTTTACTCCCAAAATTAACAACAATTTTTTTATTTTCAAATTCCAATTTTAAATCTAAGGGATATTTAAATGTTTTTAAATGTTCTGTTTTAACAATATTATGATCATGATTAAATATGAGTCCTCCACTTTTTGAAACTATATACACACCGTATATCACCATTTTGTCCTTTTAAAAAAAAAAAATTCCCTGATATTTTATAATAAGAAAAAAAAAAAAAAAAATTTTTTTTTTATTATTACCAACTTTATCGTACAAGTGATATAGATATATGTGGTCGGTAATGTTAAATAAAAATTCTGTTAAAAAAAATCTTTTTAGATTTATTAAACTAGGGGTTGCTTTCGAATTAGGAGCTTTAGCAGCAACATATGGTTTTTGGTATAAAGTTAACAGAAATATAGGTGCGATTAAAATTTTTCAATTATTTTTTCATTACCTAATGTACTATGTGCTTTTTTTTTTTTTTCCCCAGTTTAAAAAAATAATTATATATTTTTTTTAAAAAAATAATACTGTCTTACTTATTGATATTGAATTTTAAATAAATAAAATATTTAATAAAAAGGAAAAGAGTGAGAGAAACAGAATATGAGATATCATATTTTTCCTTAAGTTTTGTGTAATATTGCCTCATAGATTTTTTTCAACACAGTAGTGTTATTTGTCACTGAAATTATTACTTGCCATTTAAAGAAAAATATATTTATACCAGTATTTTGTTATTATTTAAAGCATTTATATGATTTTTCAAAAATACAATTTAGATTTCTAAGTTTTAAATTATTAAAATGATTAGGCAATCTTGTCGATTATCATGGCTTATGAAAATATGCTTTTAAATTTGCCTAAAGAGTTTTTCATTTGATTTTGGAAAAACTTAATAAAGTATTTTTAGTTAATTAATAATATTTTAAATTATATTTCAAGTTCTTAAACTTTTTAAGATTCTATTATCGTTAAGGTTTTTTCTTTCGGGAAAGTACAATCGAATTATTTCACAGTATTATTTTTTATTTTGTTTCTTAATTACAATACTTATTGATTCTTTTAAGGTTATACCACACTTTATCCATTTAGAGTAATGTGCTTTTTAAAATAATCATTGAATTATAACAAACATGTTAATGTTTAATTTTTTTTGCAGATTTTCGATTTTACTTGCACGAAAATTACAAATTTGTGCTTGATGCTTACTACAAAATAGGCGAGACCATAGATCCAGAATACAAAGGAAAAGAATTAGATTATGATTATTGGGTTAAAACAGGGAAAATTACACAGTAATGATTATTCTTAAAAAAAATTTTTATGGTTTTTGTGCTATTGTAACTTTTTTTTACGGACTTACAATTTATAATTATGTGACTAGAGTGAGTATTGATCGAGTGTGACAAAAGATTTTAATAATATTTTTTTTTTGTTTAAATAAAAATTAAAGTTTTTAAATACTTATGACATAAAAGCCTTTTAATTTATGACAAGTTTTTTAGTTATCAAATTTAATACCCCTATTTTTAATAAAAATTATTTTATTAATTTTCGTATATATATATATTTGAAAGAAAATCTCGATTAACGATTATTCTTACTTAATGTTTTAATAAAATTTTTTTATACGAAAATGTACTTGTTGTTTTATGTTCCAGAATTTCTATAATTCAAAAATTCAAACTGTGTTTTTTTTTTTTATTTTATTTTACTCATATTATTATTTAAAGAATAATTTTATTAAAATGTAAGAAAATTTTTGAATTTCAATAATACTCAATATGTTAATAATTAAATAAAAAATTTAATTTGTTTTCAATGTAAAAATTGTATTAATAATTTATTAATGAATAATTATGTAATTAAATATATTATTTTAGCAGACTATACATAATTTAAAAAAAGAATATATATATATATATATATATATATATATATATATAGGAATAAAAATAAAAAGAAATTCATGTCTGATATTGTTATACAAAAGTTTTCAATTATTTCGATAATTACTAAAATTTTTTTTTTGTTTTAGCCACAAAGTCTTGAAGAAGAATTAAGAATTGAGCTTCAAAAAAGAAAAAAATTTGTAGATTTTGTTAATAATGCATTAGGGGAAAACTCTAAATCAAAAGAAAAATAATTTTTGTTAAAAGGTTAGCAGTAGTGCTAAAAAATATATGTTAAGGGCAATGGATAAATTATGTTTATCAAATTACAACAATCATGATCCAATCGATCGTATAATTAAAAGGCAGCTTCAAAGAAAGAAAACGGAAGAAAAAAATAATTTGGATTTCAGCGGTTCTGAAGAAATAGAAAAATTTATAGAAGCATTTAATCAAAAACAAAAGGAAATAGAAAAAGAATTTGAATTAGCAGAAACTTTGGATCATGAAATGTTATCAGATCATTTTTCAAATCTTAACGAACTCATTCAATCATTGCAAAAATTTTATTCAAACGCGACAATATTTTTAAGGATATACGACAAAAAAGTATGTCAGGCTACGCTTCAAAATCTTCAAATTAAACTTAAAGAGTTGGAAAATCGTCTTCTTCCTAGGAAAAAATTTGGTTTCAAAAGTCGAATTAACAAATTAGAAAAAGATGATGGGAAAAAAAATGGTACCTCGATAAAAAATGGAGTAAAAAGTAAAATAAGTTTAATTTCTCATAATGATAAACTTATTGAAGAAGAAATATGCGGATTCAGGCATAAAAATGATGAAATATTATTTCTTACCGAAGAAGAAATCGAAAAGAAAGATGTTTTGTTAGAAAATTTGAAAAATTGTACTGTTAAGCTTTACGGGAATCCTACCACCATTCACATGACTAATTTAATTAATTGTCAAATATATTCTGGTCCTGTTACAACTTCTGTTTTTGTTGAAAAGGTTAAAAATAGTTCTTTACATTTGGCCTGTCAACAATTGAGAATTCACGAAACGACAGACACTGATTTTCATATTCATGTAACGAGTAAAGCCATTATTGAAGATAGTCAAAATGTTAGATTCGGAGTTTACAATTTTAATTATGAGGGATTAGAAAACCATTATAAAATATCAGGGCTAAGTAAAGAGGTTAATAATTGGAATAAAGTGGATGATTTTAATTGGTTAGCAGCAGATAAACCGTCTCCAAATTGGACTATTCTCACTGATTAATTTTAATTTTAATTTTTTTTTTTTTTTTTTTTGTCTACTGCATCAAAACTTTTCATGGATTTAAGTAACATTTAATCAAATTGTCAGTATATCAAATAGATTACTTTTAGGTGAATTTTTGAAATAGATTTTACAAAAGATAACCTTTGCTCTTACATAATAATAATAATAATAGTTATTTTATATGTAAATTTTAATTAACCGTTATTAATTTATTAAATTTATTTTATATTATACTAAATATATTTAAAAAAAAAAATTAATGCAAAAATAAAAAATTCTAGGCACACATGATAAAATAAATATATATTAAAAATAAATTATTTAGAATTAATCAAATGTAATAATAATAATATTAATAATAATGATAGAAATAAAATTTTCTTTTTTCAAATAATTTTAAGTGTATTTAAATGATGAAAACACAATCTAATTCCTTTTTTTTCCAGTTATTTTATTTGGCATGTTACTTTATCATAAAATTTATTTTTTCTTAAATTTTTTTTTAAGTAACGCGCCTAAATTTTCCAGTTGGAAAAAAAATTTAATTTTCTTTACAATTTATTTCATGCATTTTTTTTTTTTAAATGAAATATTTTGAAAAATGATTATTATCATAACGTGTTTTTACTGTCGATTACGTCATATCGATAATATCGAACCATTCGATATATCATCTTTTATTACTCTAAGACGTTATGGTTCAAGAAGTCAGTTAAATCTTAAACGGTTTGTTGTTTTACGAGTTTTTTTTTTTTTTAAATACTAAAATGTCATCTTATAAAGCGGCTGTTTTAAATTTGTATAAAACGGTAAGTATTTATTAATATAACGTTTTCCTAAATTACCAACTATTATTATTAATATTTAAAATAAATTTTTCATACTGCCTGCAGCTCCTGTATATGGGAAAAGATTATCCTCTAGGTTATCAGTACTTTCGTAACAAATGTCACAATGCCTTTTTACAAAACAAAATGGAAACCGATCCCGCTAAAATTCGCCAAATGATCAAGTATGGAAAATTTATGATTAAAGAACTGGAAGCTTTATATAAGTTAAAAAAGTATAGAACTTTAAAAAAAAGATATTATTCGTAAAAAAAAAAGATATAGTTTAGTGATTTATTTAAAGAAGAAGAAGAACGATGTAAAACATCACAGTTTTAAACCATTTATTTAAAAAATCCATATGTTGAAGGTAAACAAATTGTTTTTTCAATTCATTTTTTGGGTTTTTCTTATAGTTAAAAATTAATATTTAATTGAAATTTTGTATTATAGTACAACAAGAACGCCATGTATTACACTTGATTAATTTTTTAAGGATATAAAAGTTATGGTTTATGCTTAAATATTGGTAAGTAAATTTACTTTTTCTAAACTGTCTTATTCGAAACATATATGAAACCTTTAAGTTGTAAAAATTATGATAAATCATTTAAATTTAATATTTTTTATATAAATTTTATTAATGTACATACTTTTAACTTTTTTATCAAATAACCGAAAATATATTTTTATATGATTGTTATATTAATAAATAGTTTTTATTTTTTTAAAAAAAAAGTTTTCATATATGTTTAAAACTTAATTATGCTCCTTCTTCTTCTTCTTTTTTTCATCTGTTTATTGGTAATTTAATATTTACCTTATGCTTATTTTTAAAATATTTCATTTTCGATTTGATTCGTTGACAGTTGAATTAAATTTTTAATTTTGCAATATTTAATGCAAAACTCGAAAACCGAAATCTTAATGTTTACAATTTAAAATTTTAAACTTGAAAAAGAAAAAAAAAAAAAAGTTTTAGTTGATAATGACACACATATTTGATACAATGTGTTTTTTTTTTATTTAAACTGAATTTTTACACAAACATATGAAAAATAAGTTAATTTTAAAAAATTGACATTCGATTTTGAAATATAAATTCTTTATTAAAAAAAAAAAAAAAAGTTTTTAACAATGTTTAAATATTATATATATATATATTTCATTTAATTTAATGATTTTGGATTATTTCCAATGAGTCTTTCTGTGGCAGTGACTCAGTAAATTTTGTTTTTGATTCTAGACTAGTAGAGGTAATTTGTTTAGCCACAATATTTTTTTTCTTTTTTTTTTTTTCTTAAATTAATATTATATATACAACTTACTATTATAATTTTTTTTTTTTAAACTAATATTTCTTAAAATTTAACAAATTAATTTAATTTTTATGTAATTTTTTTTTTGTTAACATACATTGCAAACAGAATAAATTCATCCCAATCATTTTTTGACTTTCATTAATATGATGTTTAAGGTACCCCTTTAGGATTAAGTGAGATCTTTCGAATGTTCCATTGGTTTGTAGAATGTTGTGGATTGGTTTTTAAATGTTTCGTTTTAAATAATTTTACAAAGTTTTTAATTATGTTGGACGTAAAATCCTTATCCTGATTGGTCAGAATAAATTTTGGGATTCCAAACAGTGTCGCAAATTTAGAGATCTTAGAAACTATTGTTTATGCTTCATGGTTTGGAGTTGGTTTAGCATATTCGAATATTTTGTCAAGTCGTCCTGCATGGTTAAGATAAACTTATTTCTTTCATCCCATGACATCTATGGCCACTCTTTTAAATGCTTGTCTTGAGGTACTAGTTATTTCCATAGGCGTCTGCATGGGTTTACTAGACAACACTTTCAGTTTCTTACATAATTTTTTATATCTTTCTTCAGTAATAATAACGCTATTAAATTCTTTTATAGATTTTGAAAAATCCAAAGTGTCAGACTAATTTGGAATTATGATTGTCTATCAAAATTTTCTTCATCTCCTCCTTGGTCTTGAGACAGATTCTTTTGAATTTATCCAATGGTGGTATATTTCGAGAAAGTACATCAGCATTCGAATTGAGATTTCTCTTTTTATAAATAATTTTATAATCATATTCTTCTAATTCGATTCTCCAACCTGCTATTAGGATCCTTACAATTGAATAACCAGGTTAAAGGTCTATGATCTGTTACTATTGTGAATTTTCTTGCGAAGAGATAGGACCTAAAATGTTTTACACTCCACACTGTGTCAAGGATCTGTAGTCGAGATAAATTCGCGGTTAAAATTTGGATATTGTAGTAAAGGATTTCTTTGAACACTTCCTGTTCTTTTTTAGACCATCAGAATTCTTGATCCTTTTTAAGAAGACGAGTCAGATTTATGCCTTTGACTTTGCCTGTGTTTCATCTGACACAGATGTCACTGATAGTGTGTCCTAAGTGAACAACTTCTCTTCTTAGAAATTCACACTTGCCTGGTTGTAATTTAAGATTATTAAGCCGAAGTCTGTCAAATACATTTCTGAACTTAACTTCATGTTCTTGGATATCACTAGCATGGATAACAATATCATCAAGGTAAACAAAGCACTGCAGTCCCTGTAAACCAGAAAATACAGTATTCATTAATCGTTGGAAAGTAGCTGGGACATTTTTCAATCCGAAAGGCATGTGTGTATATTCGTAATGTACAAAAGGAGTTGTCCAAGCTGTCTTTTACTGTCAGAGTCTTTCATAAGAATCTAAAGCCATAAAATGTTTTGAACGCCCTAATAGGTCTAAAATTTCTTCAATGTTGGAAATAGGATACTTATTGTTTATTGTACCTCATTTAATTTGCTGTAGTTAATTACTATTCTCCAGCTTTTTCCTCCTGAAGCATCAGATTTCTTTGGAACAATCCATAATGAACGACGACCAAGGAGAATTAGAAGGTTTTATGATATTTCTGTTACCTGCTGAAGGTCTTATCGACTTCATTTTTATGTATTTCAGGATATCTATATGTATAAATAGGATTTTCATTGATGCTATTAATTTTATGCTCAATTGCTTCTGTTGTGCTTAAATAATCATCAGGAAATGAAATTTCAATAACAGAATAAGTTTTGCAAATTTTAATTATTGATTTTTTTTCTTCTTGATTGAGATGTCACACACATGACAAATAGATAGTTTAATGAAGTTTAAATTATCATTAGTGATGAAGAATTTTATATTTCTGGCACCTTCAAATGGCATACTGACTTCTCTAGTGTGGTGTCTTCCATGGGACTCCTTCTTGGTGTCCTGGGGACTGTTGAAAGTTTAATTGAACACTTTTTTGTTTTGAGTTAGTTTGGTTTTTCCCTGAGCTCATTATTTTTCTACCTTAGAAAACATTCTTCCAAAAGATGTTCAGACTTTTTACAATATTTACAGGTTTTTGGATTTTGAACTAAAGATGTTTTTATATCATTTGGTTTTGATCTTATCTTCCATTCAGATGTATTATGATTCCTACAATGACAATTGTTACAATTTTAACTATTTTTTAACATTTTTAGAACTTTTTCTTCAGCAATGGTTGCTGAATATGCTGAATTTAGACTATCAAAATTTTTCCCCCACATTTACTAAAAGCACAAGAATAATAAGAACACTTACAAAGATGGCAAGCCACCTTTTATAAGTTCGTCTCCATTGTTATTATTTTGTTTGGAACGATCAACAATCTATACTAAAAAAGACGAACAATGTAAGTAAACAATAACAAAAGAATGAATTTCTAGAAACTTTGCATTCTAGATAGATTTCTAGAAGTTTCGCTTCTAGAATTGATGTCTATGGCAACACTGTTATTGTTTACAAATATTCAAAAACATAAATAATGGCGGGAACTTTATTTACATAGTTGGTGTCTATGGTAACATTGCTGTTGTTTATAGATACTAATGGCGGGATCATTCCGCCATATTGTTGAAGAATTTTATGGGCATGTTCATTCATGTAATTTTATTAGGTTGTCCCTTTAAGTTTCTTCCGTGCCACGCCATGAATGAATTTGACTGGTTATTTTTATTTAAACATGCAGGCTTATCTTTTATCCGTTTATGACATCGGTTTCAGTCGTCCCATTAATCTATTTAAAATAAGTTTCGTTGGTGAAAAAGTCTCTTTTAAAATTTTTTCTGCCCCGTTGAATGTTGAGAGCCAAAAAAAGCATTTGCGGAATGTTATGCTTCATTGATTTAAAAATGGCAGTAGTACAAAGAACACTGTAGACGAGATTTGCATCGTTTACGAGGATGGTGCTGCGGCCATTAGGATCGTCCGCAATTTGTTTAAGGAGTTTAAAGCGATAATAAGAAATCCTTTCTTAAAGAGTGTTGTCACTGAAGACGAAACTTAAATTTTGTATCAAAATGCGTCTCTAAAACGCACTTGGTCTAAGAAAAATAGACCTTCAACTGTTTCGAAGCTTGGATTCATCCGAAAAAGGTTCTTTTATCCATTTGATCGAACTGGAGAGGTGTGACATGCTATGAGGTCCTACCTCAAGGTGAACCGATCAATGCTGAGAAATATTTTGATCAACTTGATCAATACGAGGGAGAGAGAGAAACAGCCAAAACTGGCAAACTGAATCGTTTTCCATCATGGCAACCACATGTTTCAATGATCGTGTGGCAAAAATTATTTTAAGGGAAGTAAAAACGGGTTTAGATGAATATTTTGTTAATAAGCCTCCACAATTTGGAAAAGAGAGCATAATGAGGGTTCCTGTGGGATGGAAGAAGGTTATAAAACACAATAAAACCACAAATAAATAATTTAGAAAACTTTTTCCTATCAATTAATAATAAATGCGTAAACTATTTTGTTTTTTTTTTTTATTAATTCTATAATAATAATTTTTTTTTTTTTTTTTTAAATATATTTCGATTGAAAATAAATAAATAAATAAATCAACATGATAAATGATTAAAAAAAAAAAAATGTATAAAAATAGTCGATTGAGATTTTAATAATTTTGTCGACATTATAATAAATTAATTTATTTTTATTATTTTTTATATACATTGAATTGATGTATCAATATCATAAGAAACGATTTCATAAAAATTTATTTATTTATTTATTTTAAATTATAATTTTTTATAATAAAATGGCGGAGTTAAATTTATCATTCAAATGAAAAATAATATATATTTATGTAAGAATTATTATTATTATTATTATTAATTAAAAATTTTATTTAAATATAAAATTCAACCGAATTTTTTTTTTTTTTTGCAATACACGTTGACGTCATATAAAAAAAGAAAGTCGAGGGCTCCTACGAAAAATCTCTCTCTCTTTTCCTCTCTCTCTCTCTCTCTCTTTTTCACTCTCTGAATGGCTCTGAATATAAAAAAACCATTGACGTGCCTGTACGAAACATAATAAAAAAAGTTTTTCTTAAAAAAAAAATACATATATATTTGATTTTTCACGCAAGCGTATTTATTTTCTTATCTGCGAAGTCACCCATCGATTTTTCAAGGGAGCCATATTATAAAGTGGGTTGCAGATCTTGAACCTTTTTTTTTAGAAGAGGAGATTTTATATTATTATTATTTTATATATAATTATTATTTGTGTTGTTTTTTTTTTTTTGTTTTTCCGCCTTCTCATCACGGTTTTATTAATTATTTGTTTAAATAAAAATTGTAAAAATAAATTTTTTTTATTTAAATAATAATTTAATCGATTAAATTTTAAAAATGTATGTGACGATTTAACACCACGTTTTATTAATTTATATATATATATAATCGACCATTGTTTGTCGTCGTACCTTTTAGGTAAGATTTTCTTTTTTAATATTAATAATAATAATAATATCGTGTGTGTATATATATAGGTATTTAAAAACTATTGATGTTATATATATAATATATTTGAAATTTTTTTTATGAATGAGAAAATGCGTGTGCGTGCGTGTGTGTGTGTGTTTCTTAATAATCATCGATTTTATTTTTTAAATCTCATTAATGTTAGCAAAGGTTATTTAATTATATAAAAAAAAAAAAAAATTCTAGAACATTATTCGATACTTTCAAACTCCGGAAATGATTTAATTTAAACAAAAAGAAAAATCGAATCGAATTTTAAAGGACGAGTTTATAAATGTCAAAATTTTTTTACTACAGTTTCTTTAGATTTAAAATAATAATAATAATAATAATAACCGATAAGTAATATAGTAATTTATTTGCTACACGTAAATTATTAATTGTTAATAATAATATTTGCTATCGTTAATATCGTCGTCCATTAGGAAAAATATAAAAAATTGTTCTTAATATCATTCTTATTTTTTTTTTTTTTTGTTTCTTAAAATAATTTTTTATTTCGTATATATCGATTTTAATATCTCCTTCGTTTTCTCTCTCTCTCTCTCTTTTTCTTTTTCTCTCTCTCTTTTAAAAATAAATATATATTATTTTCTATTATTTAAATTTTTCTGGTAAAGAAAAAACGGAAAAGGAAACTCTAATAAAAATTCATTTAAAAAAAAAAAAAAAATTTTCCTGATAGTTTTAAAGAGAGAGAGAGAGAGAGAGAAATAATGGGGATTGATAATAAAATGAATATTTTATGTATAAATAATTAAATATTATAATTTAAATAATAATGATGATGATGATGATGATAATAATGTTTAAACGATTGAAAAAAACAAAACAGGAGTGGGGGAAAAGAAAATTTTTTTTTTAAAGCGGATTTGAAGGTTTTTAATTATCATAAAACGATTAATTGTCAGAAAATCGAATAAATGACGTAGAAAATCAAGGAAAATTTTATTTTTCATAACAATTTTCATAAAAATTTCACGTTTAGATTTCATAAAAAAAAAAAAAAATTGCGATTGACATTTTGATTAAAAATAATGAAAAAATTGTTTTTTTCTATTAATATTATCGATTGATTGATTATTTAAAAAAAATTAATTAATAAATATTTTATAGAAATAATTTTAAAACGTTATTTATTAAAAAATAAATAAATTCAACCGGAAAAGGAAACGAATTCATTTAAGTAGATATAATTAATAATAATAATAGTTAACCGCATAGGCGAATGATTTAAAAAAAAAAAAAATATAATTTTCACAAATTCGGGAAATTATTTTATTTAGAAAATAAATAAAAATTTATTGTTTATTATTATTATTATTATTATTATTATTATTATTATTATTAATTAAATATTGAATCGAATTGAAATTTTTTATTATTTTTTTTTAATATACATAAAAATAATTTAATAAAAGAAACTTTAATAATTCGAAACAAAAAAAAATTTAATTTAAAATTTTTTAGTGGTTTTTTTTTTTTTTTTTGCGTGGGACACAATATGAAAAAAAATTCAGGGAAGTGGGGGGGTGGGGAGGAGGAGGAGGAGGAAGAGGAGTAGGAAAAATAAGGTTTTACCTTTTTATTAAAAAAAAAATTAATTTAATTACGTTAATAATAATATTATTTAAAATAATTAGAATATTTATCCGATATAATTAAAAATGGTGGTTAATGTAAAAGTGTTATTTAACTCTTAGGATGATAATAATAATAATGATAATGTGTAGGCGTCGTGTTTTTTTTTTTTATTTGACGTAATTGACAACCGATTTTCTATTTATTTAAAAAAAGGAAGAAAAAAGTAGGAAAAAAAAAGAGGAAAACTCAAGGAAAGGAAAAAAAAAATTCATCGTCCACGTATTTCGTTTTTCTCTCTCTCTCTCTCTCTCTTCGTTCCTTTTAATGTATTTTATCAAACCTTTTTTTCTTATTTTTTTTTAAGTTAGAAAAAAAAAAATTTATCACACTCGTGTGTATTTCATTTAGTTTTACATTAAGAAATTAACTTTTTTTTTTCCTGTTTTTTTTTTCCTTTTTGTTCCTGTTGGTTTTCTCCTTAAATAATAAGAAAACCTTTACTACAATAAAATCTTTTTAGTTTTTTTGTTTATAAACAATTTTAAAAATAATTTTATTTAAGGTTTATTATTAAATAAAAATAAATTAAATGATAAAATTGTAAAATTTTGGTTTTTCTCTTTGTAATTTAAAAAATAAAATAAATAAATAAAATGTGTGAGTTTTATTTAATTAAACAAATTATTATTTACTTGAATATATAATAATAATAATAATTTATTTTTAGAAGAATTATTATTACGTAACGTTTAAATAAAATTTATAGAGGGGGGGGGGGAAATTTTCGACGGAGAAAAGAAATAAATAAAATTGAAAGAAAAAAAAAATTTTTTTTATGTAATTTAAAAATTTATTAAATTTATAATAAATTAAAATAAAATTTTATTTTATTTACAAAAAAAAATTGATTTCGTTTATTTTTTGTTTATAAATTAAAAGATATAAAAGGTTGAAACAATTTAAAAATTTCAATTATTTTATTTAACAAAAAACAAAAAAAATATGATAATAATAATTTTAACAATTAAAAATTGTGGTGAATAATAATTGTGTCGCGATGACGATTCATTTTTACGTTTAGTTATTTAAAAAAAGGAAAAAAGGAAAAAAAAAGGAAAAAGTTTTAATGTTTACACACAGAAAGAAAAAAAATTTATTCTTGATTAAAACTTTATAAAAACTTAAAATTGTTTGACTTAATAAATGAGAAAAAAAAAAAAAAAAAAGAAAAACTTTTTACGATTCTGCAAACAATTTTTTTTTTTAATATTTTTTTTTCTCCCTTATTATTAATTTTAATTTTTTTTTTTAATAATAGATAATATTGCCAATTAATTTGGCCGTGAAAAATGTCTCCCCTAATAATAAAAAGGGAAACGACAGAAGTGAAAGATGAAACGCCAACCGTACAAGAACCAAAATCAATTACGTTGGAGGAACCGAAAGAAGCTGTTTTAGGTAAATAAAAATAAAATTTTTTCTTTGTTAAATTAATTTTTTATAAAATAAATTATTATTATTATTTTGTTAGAAGAGCCGATGGAAGAAGCAAAAGAAGTATCGACCACAGTTGCGGCAAAAACAGAATCTGAAAAAATCGGTGAAATAACCGAACAAATAGCGCAAGAAATGGGCATACCAACATGGGGTCTTGTAGCTATTATAATCGGTAAATAAAAAAAAAAAATGTCATCATTATTATTTATAAGACAACCTTTTTCTTTCATCTATAATAATTTAATTAATTATTTTTTGTTTTCCAGTGGTTTGTTTGATAATATTATTAATATGCGGATTCTGTATTCGACGATGTTTTAGAAAAAGAAGAGCAAAAGATGGTAAAAAAGGAAAAGGTGTTGTAGATTTAAAATCCGTACAGTTGCTCGGTTCGGCATATAAAGAAAAGGTACTAAAAATTTATTCAAACGGGGTTTTTTTTTCCTATATACTTAAATTCATTTTTGAAAATTTATTAAATTTAGGTTCAACCGGATATGGAAGAATTAACGGAAAATGCAGAAGAACAAGGAGATGAGGCGGATAGTAAACAAAGCGAACAGAAATTAGGAAGACTTCAATTTAAACTCGAATACGATTTTAATTCAAATAGTTTGGCGGCAACTGTTATACAAGCTGAAGAATTACCTGCATTGGATATGGGAGGAACGAGTGATCCCTACGTAAAAGTTTATTTGCTCCCCGATAAAAAGAAAAAATTTGAAACTAAAGTTCATAGGAAAACATTAAGTCCAGTTTTCAACGAAACTTTTGTTTTTAAGGTTTGTTTTTGTTTGTTGTATTTTTTTAATCATCAGTAAATTTTTAAACCTAATTTAATATTTATTATTAATTTTTTTGCTGATTCTAGAATGTTCCGTATGCTGACGCAATGAATAAAACATTGGTTTTTGCCATATTCGATTTCGATAGATTTTCTAAACATGATCAAATCGGCGAAGTTAAAGTTCCACTCTGTCAGGTTGATTTAGCTCAAACAATTGAAGAATGGAGAGATTTACAAAGCGTGGAAGGAGAAGGTGGTCAGGTACGTTGTATAAACTTTTTTATTTTATTTTATTACCTAATTATTATTATTATTAATCATTTTAATAAAATCGATATTTTAACGTCACGATGAAACAAAAAACAAATTTTTTTTCACACGTTTTCGAAAATCGTACCGTGGATTTTAAATTGAAAATAAAAAGGCGCCAAAAATTTTAAAATTTAAAATGAAAATGGCGGGAAAATTTAAAAAAATGAAATTAATAAATTTATTAAAGAGTAATAATTATTCGAGATGATGATAAAAATAATTTATGATCACGTGTTTATTTTTTTTTTCATCGTGTTAACGTTATTGTTATTATTATTATTATTTTTTTTTTTTTAAAAATAAAATTCGAAAATGAATAAATAAATTAAAATTTTTATGATATTTATTTATTTATTTATTTATTTATATTCGAATTTTAAACAGATTTTTCACGGATAAAATCCTATGCAGAGCATTCACAAATGTGCAATATAGAACAAAAAAAAAAGTTATTAAAAATAAAAAAATAATTAAAAATAATATTAATAATAAAATTTTATTTTTATTTAATAAATTGTATTTTTATAGTTTCGATTCGTAATCGAGTCTGCGCAGTATCGAAAAATAAAAAAAAGAAAAAAAATATTAAAAAAAAAAAAAAAAGAAAATTTATCGATTAACAATTAAACCGAAAATTATCACCCACCATTTTTTTTTATTATTTTTTTAAACAAAATAAAAAAATTAATTAATATATAAATAATATACATTGACTGCATGTAGACCCGAGTTTGCAAAATTATTTATTTATTATCATTATCATTATTATTATTATTATTATTATTATTATTATTTACTGTTTTTATTTTATTAAAATTATCTATTGCCATGAGAGAGTTATGCATGGGATTTTTATTTTTTTTTATTTAATTAATGTATTATTAATAATTTTTTTTTTTTAATTGATAATATTTTATTTATTTATTTGAGTTTGTCGTAATTAATTGTTTCTATTATTATTATTATTAATCATTAATTATTATTATTAATAATTTTAAAATTTAATTATTAAATTTAACACAATTTTTTTTTTTTTCAATTTGCGATGCTAAAATTAACGAATTTAAAAAAAAAAAAAAAAAAAAAAAAAAAAACGTTTTGAATGATGATTAATAACAATTATTTATTTATTTTTTTCGATTCGTTATTTACAACAGTTAATAAAAGGTAGCCATTTTGAAATTTGCAATTTTTTTTTTTTTTAAATAGTTTTTTTAATAAAAAGGGGCTGCACTTTTACATAAAAACAACAAATTAATAATTAATAAAAGAAAAACAAAAAATCTTTTTTTTAATAAGTTTAACGAAAAAAATATTAATCATTATTATTATTATTAAGTAGTTAGAATGACTATTGTTATTATTATCATTACTTTAATATTAACTCATTAATGATTACTTGGGTAAGTTTTTTTTTTTTTTTCTCATTATTAATAACGTTGAGAAAGAAGATGACGTTGAGACGAACTTGTTATCGTTGTTAGTTTTATGATATAAACGAATTTAGTAGCAACAGCAACAGCAGCAGCACATTTAAATACAGTTATATATGGCTTTTAATCATAAATTTATCATTTAAAAAAAATAATTAAAATTTACATTCATATTTTTTTTTTAACGAATAAAACAGAAACACGTAGTCGAGATTATTACGAAAAAAAAAACATTTTCAGAATTTTTTTTTTTTGCTTTATTTATTTATTTATTTTTACATAAACAAATAAAAAAATTTCAATTTTCACTTTTTTTTTTTGACTACAGCAATATTATCATTATTATTATTTATAAAAAATGATAAAATTGTTAAAAGAAAATAAGTAAAGGAAATGTAATGGTTGCTCCAATTGATTTTTTGCCAAAATTTGAATAAAAAGATACTCGTAGAATTTATTTAAATAATTCTTTAAGTATAAATAATTTTCTATTTATTATTTTTAACGGTTTTTTCAAAAAGAAAAAAAAAGTTATGAAAAAAAGTTATGAAAAAAAAGTGAAAATAGAAACAAAAAAAACTAATTATTAATCACTTGAGTTAAGTTTTTATGATATTTTCTGAGCGATTCGTAATTGTTTATTATTATTATTATTCAAAATATATATTTAATTTGTTATCACGTGATTTGAACAAATGTTTTTCTCTTAAATATATATATATTATTTATATTATATTAAAAATTATAGAATTATTATTGAAAGGGAATAAATACGAGGATGTTAAACATAATTACGAATCGCTCTTTTAAATATTTAAAAAAAAAAAAAAAAAAGAAAACTTTGTTGATGACAATTTTTATTCTTCTCTTTTTTTTTTTTTTTTTTTTTTTTTCTTACAACCATTTTTTATGCTCTGCTTTTGGCCTGCCTGTAAAAACATATGGTTATGCCTACAAATCATGCATGCCGCTTCAATACGTTGTTCACGTAAGTATTGTTGTTATTAGACAAAAAAAATAATAATAATGTTAAATGTGTGTGTGTGTGTGTCTGTGCAATTATTATTATTATTATTATTACATAAATTTATATTCATTTATCATTAGGGAATGTTGTTTAAAAATTGAAAAAAAAAAAAAAGCTATTATTATTATTTTATCTTGTACCTATCTGTTGCACGTATAATTTTTATTTATTTATTTATTATTTTCGATTAATTATTACGTTTATTATCACATATCATAAATTCAAACGAAAAAAAATTATCGTCTGCTATTTTTTTTTCCACTCAATACGAAAATAAAACGACCAAAAAAAAAAAAAAATAATAATAAATTTTTCTTTTTTTTTTGTTGCACGAATAAATAATAAAAAAAAATAAAAATAAAAAAATTTTACAGCGTTTCTCTTGAAAATTTCTTGCCGTTGGTTGTTATTGTTGTTGTTTCAGAACTTAATAATAATAATATATATATATATTAATTATTTTATTATTTTTAGAAATTTTACGTTTTGTTTCGAGACAGAGACAGAGAAAAAAAACTGAATTTTTATCATTATTATTATTATTATTATTATTTTAAACGAATGATAGATAACATTATGGATTCAACAATCAGAAAACAATTTTTATCTACGTAGACAATCGTTAAAAAAAATTTTAAAAATTATAATTTTAGGTGGTTTTTTTAAACAAAAAAAGAAACTGATTTGATTTTTCTACGTTTTTTTATCATTAGAATAGGTTATCAGGTGGTTATAATAAAAGAAGCAAAAATATTAAAATGAGAATTATATGAAAGTATTACGAGCTTATGTTTAACTTATAAACAAATAATTTTTGCTTCTTTTCATATTTATAAATTTTTATTTTTTACATGATGAAATGTTTGCAATGATACCCAAAATGATGATTTATTACTTTTTTTTTTAAATATTAATAATGATGATACATTTAAAAAAAAAAATTCGTATATTATTTAAACAAATGCAAACTAAATTAACAAAAAAAAAAAAATTTTTTTAGTTTATAATAATAAAGTTTGCATTTGAAAAAAAAAAATTTTTATTTAAATTTTTAGGTGTGTTTAACGTAAATAATTAATAATAATTTTTTATTTAAATATTTTCAAATTCCAATTTTATACGAAAGAAAAAAAACCGTTACAAATTATTATTTAAAGAAAAACATAAAAATTTTTTTACAATGTTTTATTTATTTATTTATGTATTTATTATTTGGCGGCATAAAAAAAAGAAAAAAAAAAAAATTTGCTTTTACAACAAAGCCTATCGTTTTGCCCTTCACGAATTCGCTATATTTATATATATATAATATTATCTTGCATACTGTCAATTTTATATTCATTTAAATTAAATCGTATTCATAATAATAATAATAACTTACGAATTATTTATATTTAAAGAAAAGACGTCATGTGATATTTACAACACTTAACAGTTACACCCAAAGTAGTTTTAAATAATTTCTTTTTTTTTTTTTTGTTTGTTTTATTTCTCTTGAAATTATTCGTTAATAATCTTTAATTAGTCAAATATTAATTAATTAATTAATTAATAATAATAATAAAAATGCCGCAATTGTTTAAATGACGTCACGAAAAAAAAAGTTTTATTTTAAGGGAATTTTTATTTGGCGGTAATATCGATAATTTCGAAATTTATTTTTATTTATTTTTTTATATTTTTTTCTCTTCCTTATTCTGCATGTATATGAACAAACAAACAAACAAACAAACAAACAAACATACAAAAAATTAGTTTTAATAAAAATTTAGATTGTTTAAATATGACAAATACTTTTACCGATAGTATTAAAAAAATTTTTTTTTTTTTTTCAAACCGATTAATTTATCATGTTGTAAATAATTATTTAGTCGAATAGGATTTTTCTCCCCTCGCCTCCCCCGTCCCCCTGTATCCCCCCTTTTAGAAGTTAGTTTTTTTGTTTTTTTTATTTATTTATTTATTGATACATTATTAGTTATTGTAGTGAATTATTTAGTTTAATATATCCATCGTTAAATAATACAAAAACAACATGTCTGCCTGATTTGATATTATTATTATTATTATTATTTATTATTATAATTAAATTAAAAGTCTTAACAGGAATTAACAGGAATTGTTATTAAAAAAATAAAAACAAATCGGGCAGAATAAATGTTGATAAAATTTATATAAATTCATTATAAAACATTTAAAAATTAAATATAGTGTTTCTCAAAATTTTTTTTCGTTAGGATAAATTTTTATTCAATACCCGCATATTGAAGTGAAAACAAAAATAAATATGGCGGATCGATATTTTTAAAATATATTTATGTAATTGCAGAAAATTAATCGGTTATGTTACTCACACTGATGAATATTTTAATCGAAAATACAGGATTTTAAAATAAATCGAGAAACACTATCGCATTAGATAGACAGATAGATAGATAAATAGATAGATAAACATTAATATGATAAATATAATACATAAATATATATATATATATATATATAAATAATATATATGTGCGTGTGGTAGTAATAAAAATGACAGTATGCAAGTGCTTTTGTAGTCAATGCTTTTGTGATAACACAAAATTCGATCGATGTTGTTGTATTTATTAATGTAGAATGTGTTATGTACAATAAGTATGTACCATATACATAAACATATTTTATTTATTTATTTTTTAGTATATGGTTTATACTTTTTTGTGTATAACCTTTTTTTTGACGATTTCAAAAGCTTTTTTTTCCTAAATTATTATTATTATTAATTAAAAATAAAGCTTTTGAAAACGAATTAAATATTAATTTTTTTTTTTTTTGAAAAATTGTTTCCGGTGGTCAAAACGACCATTTTTTTTTTTTTTTTTTTTTTTTAATTAATTAATCGTTAGGGATAGGATCATAATTAGATAGAGGTTTTTTTTTTTTTTTTTTTTTAATAAAATTTCTTTTGCTTATGTCGATGAAAATTTAAAGAAAAATGCCACCGGGTTAAAATTGATTTTAAATTTTAAATTAAAAAAAAAAAGAGAAAATTATTAAAAAACTGGAATTTGAATACAGGAAAACAAGCTGGGTGATATCTGCTTTTCGCTACGTTATGTTCCAACTGCTGGAAAATTGACAGTTGTTATATTGGAAGCTAAAAATTTGAAGAAAATGGATGTAGGAGGTTTGTCAGGTCAGTTTTTTCAATAATAATAATCGTATTTTATTCATGTCGTTCTCGTTGTCTATTCTTAGCGCAGATGTGTTTGTGTGTGATGATCTCACAATTGGTTCCAGTCTTTAATGAAGATTTTTACATCATCGTCGACTTCGGTTCGTATTTTTTTATTTTTTTTTATGTATGTTAGTGTCATTGTTGTATTGTGTGCAGGAAAAATTGGGCGATATTTGCATCTCCTTGAGATACGTGCCGACAAGCGGAAAACTAACTATCTGCATATTGGAAGCTAAGAATCTTAAGAAAATGGATGTGGGAGGTCTTTCCGGTATGTCCGTTCAAATACCCAGTAGTTGTTTTTTTTTTTATTAAAAAAATTATTATTATTATTATTTTTAATTAGACAATTTTTTTTTTTTCGTCTTATTCAAAATTAATTTAGTCGCTTTTAGTAGTGATTTTTTTTTTTTAATAATATTTTTTTAAATAATATTTTCAGTTTTAAATTTTTACTAAACCCGAACTTTAATTTTTTGTTTTGTTTTTCCTTTTTCACAATGGAAAAATCTTTCGGTTATTTATTCAACCTTTTATTTGTTAATAATAATTAATTTGTTTTTAACCTTTCATACCTGAACATCGCATGTTTTTACTAATACGAAAAATAAACTCGTTCGAAAAATTATGATAATTTTTTAAACGAAAAATTAATAATAATAGTTTTTGTTTTTATTGTTTAATGACCGGTAATAACCCTTTTCCACTACCATTTCCCCCTCCCCAAAAAAAAAAAAACAAATAAGAATCACTTATTAGAAGTGTTATTGTGTGTTGAAAAAAAAAAATTGTGAAATTAAAAACCTCATGCTTAAAATAATTATTCTAAAAGCTTTCTCGTTTGTATTTTTGACTTATCTGTGCTTTTAAATTGATGTGTAAGCTCTCTCTCTCTCTCTCACACAAAAAAAAACTAACAAACAAACAAAAGAAACAAAAGAAATAAAAAACAAAAACAAAAAGAAAAAGAAAAATCAAAAAGAAAATCAATATGGAGGAGACAAACATTTTCTACAACATGGCTAAGTATTATAGTTGTTTGCTTATTTAATAATGCAGATGATTATTATTATTATTATTATTTTTATGATTATGATTATGATGATGATAATTATGTTATTTCATTGCAAAAAAATTTTTTTTTTTTTAATATAAATTTTACTTTATAGTTCTTTTTTCTTATTATTATTATTATTATTTTGTGATACGAAAATTATATTCTGATACATATTTGTCTTTTTTTTTTTTTTTTTTTTTGAATTTAATTTTTTCAGATCCCTACGTGAAAATCGCATTGCTTCAAAATGGTAAAAGATTGAAGAAAAAGAAGACGAGCATCAAAAAATGCACGTTAAATCCATATTTCAATGAATCATTTACGTTTGAAGTACCTTTCGAGCAAATTCAGGTGAGAAAAAATTATTTTTAATAATTAATAGGGAGGGGGGGGAAGGGAAATCGATAAATCGATTTATCATCATTATTAATATTTAAGAATTTTAAGTAATAAATAAATAAAAAAAAAAAAATGGCGTCTCGTTTGTCTTTTTTACGCAAAGTTAAAAGTTTACAAGACATAAAAATCTTTTTATTAAATATAATTTTAAGGGTAAATAAAAAATATTATTATTATTATTATTATTGCACTGTTAAAGTTTTGATTGTTTTGTTTTAAACATTATTTATTACGTAATAAAAATTTAATAAATATTTTATATACAGGTAATTTTATTAAGTGGTAAGTTACGTTTTAAAAATAATTTTTTTTAATGTACATAAAAAATATTATTATTATTATTTTTCGTTTCGACAAAAAGGGATTTGTGAATTTCTTTTCCTTTTCAAAAAAAGAAAATGATTAATATATTTAGGGGAGTAGTGTGAAAATCAAGGTTGTTGTTACTGGATATTTCAGAAAGTAAGCCTGTCAATCACGGTCGTCGACTATGACCGCATTGGCACATCAGATCCAATTGGAAAAGTCGTTTTGGGTTGCACGGCAAGCGGTACAGAATTACGTCATTGGTCTGATATGTTGGCCTCACCGAGGCGTCCGATAGCTCAGTGGCACACTCTTAAAGATCCCGACGACGAAGAAAAGAAATAAATTCACACGAAACCATTTAAAAAAGAAAAAATGTCGAGAGAGAAAAAAAAAAAAAAGAAAAAAAGCCCAAAAAAAAAGAAAAAAAAAACACGGCAAGTATTTATGTGTGGCGTTCTAAATGTTGCAGAAAGTTAATCTCTCCGTAACCGTCGTGGATTATGATCGGATTGGAACCTCAGATCCCATAGGGAGGGTTATACTCGGTTGTAATGCTCAAGGCACAGAGCTGAGGCATTGGTCCGACATGTTGGCCTCCCCCCGTCGACCCATTGCCCAATGGCATACTCTAAAGGATCCCGATGAAACCGATGAGAAAAAATAAAGCCGATTAATATAAATATGTATGTTAAGGATATTTTTTCGAGGGACATTTTCTCACTTATTATTATTATTATTAATCATTTTCTTACTATTTTTTATATGCGATAAATTTTTTTTGCATCGTTTCGATCGTTGATTTCTTATTTTAAATATCATTATTATTATTATTTTTTATTTGCATTCGATCGATTTTATTTAAATAGCATGTTTTCTTCTCGATTCGACCAATCACGTACATACATACATACATATTATTAAATTTTCGAATAATTATTAATAAAAAAAAAAAAAAAAATTTTTTTGCACGTTAATTTCCCCAAAATTTTAAATTTTTAATTAGGGTCACCCAATAAAATATTTTGTGACGTTTTGACATTTATTATTACCGCCATTTTTCAGCTTATTTAATTTATTTTATGCAAATTTTTTTACCAATTGTTTATAAAAAAAAAAAAACCTAATAATAAATTTCAAATTTTTTTTTTTTTTAATGTCGTTGATTGCACGAATTTTTTTTTTTTTTTAAAACGAAATCTTATTTAGCATGTCGTTAAATTATTTATTAAAAAAAAAAAAAAAGGATAAAATTTAAAGCTTGACTCGTTTATTATTATTATTATTAATATTTTTCAATGAATTAAATTTTCATTTTAAATTTTATTGCATTTAAAAAAAAAAAAAAAAATTGACAGGTGAGTAATTTTCTCGATTATTATTTATTATTTCATTTCCGGCCAAGTGACAAACGTTAAATGTTTTCTTTAATTCTAAATTTCGCTCATGTTTAACTTATGTAAATCGATATTTTTTTAACATTTAAATAAGAATCGAGTCTTTTGTCCAATAATAAATCACAAAACATTTACGATTTCGTGAGTTACTAACTTGTTTCTTTTTTTTTCTTTTTATTTACCTGTAGTTAATAGCAAAAGGAAGAATGTGTGTGAAAGAGAGAGAGAGAAACAGTGAAAAAAAAAAGATGGAAGAACATCCGGATAAAATCAATCATCGTCATTCGCATCAGCATATAATATCAGCTTTAAAAATCATCGGATCGGCTTTGAAAAATACCTGGGATAAATAACAGTAATAATAATAATAACGATAAGTAAAATTATTTAATTATTTTAATTCGGTTGCTGCTACTAACCTAACTGCTCACCTCCCCCCCGCCCCTGCCCCCGGGTTCGTTTTAAATCTCTTATTTATTTAATGTACATACATAAGCATCATTAATTAATTTTATTATTTTAGCTTTGTGTGCGTGTGCGTGTGCGCGTGTAGTTATCAATACCATTATCGATAAGAATTATTATTTATTTTTATTTATTATTTTTATTTATTATTATTATTATTATTATTATTATTTATTTATTTATTTTTTTTATTACTTTGAATGCGTGTAACGAACGGGAAACGCACAAAAATTTATTTTATTATTATTATTATTATTATTTAAAATTAAAATGCTTTTTATAATAATTATTATTATTAATAAACAAACACGTTGGTCGCGATTCTGATTTTAATTAATAATAATAATAATAATAATTTATGACGTAATTAAAATTACAAAAAATTAATTAATGAGGCTTATTTTAACAAAATTATTTATTTGTCCGTTGTTTGAAATATACCTACCGTAAACTAGGCTAAATTTTTTTAAAAAAGGCCTTAATTTAATCGCTAATTAATTATAAATAAATTACAACAAATAAATTAATTAATTAATAATAAATAATAATAATAATGAAAAATAATAAGAAAGCGTTGATTTTGATTTTCATTCATTCGTTGACGTTGATTTTTCCATAGGATTTTTTATAAATAAATGTCCCCGCCCCATTCACCCCCGTCTCCCCTTCCCCCGATTTGAGATATCATCCCAAAGGACCAGAATTTAATGATGAAAATTTTTTGCAATTATTATTATTATTATTATTAATAGCTTTGATATATAAAAACGTGGCGGCATTTGTTACTTTTTATTTATTTATTTACTTATTTATTTTACGTATTGTTATTATTATTGTTAAAAAAAAAAAAAAACTTGCGAATCGAAATTATATATAAATAAAATCTCCTACGCAAAATTTATTAAAAAAAAAAAAAAATAAATAAATAAATAAAAAAAAAACCAAAAATAAAAAAAATAAAAAAAAGTAAAAAAAAAAAATTTTATTATCGTTTATCGTTTATTGTATGCATGAGTGATTAACAAAGCTCATAATTAATCTGTTGAAAGATATAAAAAATTAATAATAACAATAATAATAATGATATTTATTAATAATAAATTTATTTTTAAAGGGTAAATGAATGTTATTTAAGTATATAAATAAAAAATATATAAATAATATATATAAAATAAATAAATAAATTTTAAAATTAATATTAGACTTTTATCGTAAGTTGAAAAGTTCAAACGAAAAAACTAAAAAAAAACAAAAAAATTTGAATTTAGTTAAATTGAAAAGTGTATAAATAATAATAATAATTAATAATAAAAATAATAATAATAATAATAATAATAATA